CCCGCAGTCAGGCCCACGCGGGGGGTGGGGGGGCATTGACGGCCCTCGGTGCCGGTTCGCCGGCGAGCTGCGTGCCTCGCAGGGCGATGAAGACGTGAAGTGCTCTCAATGTGAAAGCGCCTTCGGTGACACGAGACGAGGAGCGGTCGGAAGACGATACACTAGTTCTGAGTCAGCCGTTAGCTCGGATCGACTGTTATGACGAGCTTCATTTGATGGCTGGTATTCACCAGTTAGTAATTGAGCATATTAACAAGTGTAACTTCACTGAATAATTTTCTCGGTCGTTTTCCTGTTGGTATCGAGAGCGATGCGCGTTAAAATAAAAAAAATATTTTAACGTTATTATATATATATATATATATATATATATATATACAAATCACAACGCAAGATATAGTAACTGAATCATATTAGCAATTGAAAGATCATCTCTGCTTCTCGGTAAAAGCCATCTCGGCTTGACTAAATTTGCGAGAAACTTTTTTATAATACTATTCTCGTTAATACATGATTTTCTTTCATCAAACCTTTGTAAAGTAATCCTTCATTATTCATGATGTAGCTTCTACATGTTTTAATGTTCTTTCAGTTCTTTTTTTATCAACATAATAGATTTTGATTTGACCTATTTTTACCTCTTTACTTCCTCTGATGTCCCTTGATTCTATACTGGCGCCAAACTGCTTAGCAGATTTCTTTCGGTAGATTTTACCTAAAGCTACGGTCGCTGATTAATTTTCATTTGAGAGACACTAATGATGATTTATGATAGAAATGATGAAAAGCGATGGGTTTGGGGTTCAATTTTAGATTATTTCATTCTTATTATCCTCCTTTCTCTGAAACCGCACTCGCTTATAAAACGTAGGTATACTATATTACAGACTTTGAATGTTTAATTTTAATCTGAACATTTCTGTAATTACTTGAAATATAAGAAAGTGACAAATCAGTTATATAAAATAGCAATTTTTTCTTTGTATGAGGTATACATTAGTCAGGTTTTTTCAATGAGGATTAGCTATTTGTATTCATTAGATGAAAATTTATAAACACAGGAAAACGTTCATTTTTTTAAGTTGAGGGATGGATTCACGGAAGTACGTAATTGTATTATATTTCTATAAATACCATTACCATGTAAAATATAGAGTTTTAACAGTATATCGTGATTAGCTCTCAAGTCTGAATTTTCTCCCCTAGTTCCTCGTTTTGATGACTTAACGTTATTTATTTTGGTTGTATTACATTCACATCGTCTGAGGCATTGCGAAGTTAAGAGTCGCATTATCTGACTTTAAAAGTTATAGTAATGTCTTAAGTGAAAATAGTCTACACATTTCAGAGACACGCAGACATCAATTGCTCGAAAGCGTCGAAAAACAGAATTTAAGGCAAGGCACATTTTAACAGATGTGAGTGACAAGAGTTATACCTAAGGAGAAGAATTTGCAGCTGATGAATATGATGAGATTTGTTCTGCTTGCTCGCCATCTTATACTTATGCGTCGTCTTCTTCCATTCTTTAAATTTAAGCAAATTTACCTACTTATGAGTTAAAAATTTAATTTAGAAAGCTCAGTTTCAAAAATACATCGTAAGCTGAAATGGAGACGTTGAATTTGGCCTTTCAACTTTTTAAGAGATAGGGCGAATAACTGTAGCGCACCGAAGCGATGCGCATATCCGCTTAGGATTTTTTTTATGTGTGTCTGTGTATATCGGCATTATAAACGACCTTCTCTGTTGTATGAAATTCTTCATAATCGGGCATTTTACGACAAAAATGATGACGTATTAGCATTATACAGCACGAATGATTGCATCATCACACTTTCAGCCAATGGCAGCGAGAGAATTGGGGGGAGGTGGAGGTAAACGGAACCGCCGTCCACCGTTTTCTGGCGTAGATGTCAGTACCCGAGACGACACCAGAAAGTTGTTTCGCAAAATTAAGTTTATCTTATAAATTTATATTTCTGTTAGACAAAAAATTGCGTACGCAACTAGTTTATAACGTTGCTTCATTGCTTTCGAACAAATTTGAAAACGTGCCCCTCTTACGTCGCTCGTTTTCAAAACGTGCTCATGAAACAAAACGTAACATTATAAACTAATTGCATAATAGTAGTTCATACAGTCTTTCTAAATGAAGAAAGCTGTGTTAAAGCGAAGTTTCCTGTTTTAACGACACTCAAAAGTTAAATAACTTACTGATGATAATTACGATAGGACCTGGTTTACAATTACGTGCGACTTGATTGTCATTTTGTGTCCGTAATTGTGATTGCTCAGCTATCAAGCCTACAAGTTCATTCGTTTCCGAAACGCCATTTCAAAACAGCCATAGTCAAATTCGATTAATGGCATTTCACAAACCAGGTGCATTACTTATCTTTCGGTTGTGCCAAAGAATGTGTGATTTACTTTATGTCATTCACATGACGTTCATGACACTCCATATTATGTAATGAAGGATGAAAATTATCAATTGAATACTGAAATGTTTCAAATACCCGTTAAAATAAACACATTGAAGATTCACAAAATAATGTTTGTGTTGCTCCAAGCACATTTACAGTTTAATTTTATATTTCATCCCTTGCTTCTGTTAATTTTGCTATTGATACTTGCTATGAAAGAGACTCTACAAATACATGCAACAATATGTAAATATACAATATACAAGTACATATGTTTAAATGTATGCAATAGAATAATAATAAAGATGTTATATTGAGGCTTGTGCCATATATTCATTGATCTATATTTTCAACAGCCATCTGCGTCTGCGTTTATTTTATCTTTACTTAATACTTTGAAAAGCAAAAGAAAGTCTGTCTCGTTAGGCACACATTATTAAACACCTGAATGATTATCTTCCTATCAGTATTTTCTTAAGACAACTGGTTGAATTACTATGTAATGAAATGAAAATCATAAATATTTATGAAAGCATTTATTATTTCTCTGTTTAATAATAATAATAATAATAGTAATAATAATAAATAATAGTAATAATAACCACAATTGCTGAAGTTGTAAACTCTTAGCTCTAAGTAAATCATTGTTTTGAATGTGAAAATTGCTTTATTGTGAAATACATGTTAGGAAGACTTGCTGTGACGATAGTACAAAGATCTAAGGGGAACATCAGAAAGGTACTTAGTGTCGGATTAAAACATTCCAATATTTGTAAACATTTAATAACAAATAATGTCCGAAAAAATTGCACAGAATATCAAATAGTCAATTCATGTTTGCGTAGATTTTTAGATTCTGCGAGTGATATATATTCTTGGAGTGGAAGTATCCACGGGAGCTGAACGAAAAAAAATAATCAAAAGTTTATCATTTTGTAGATCACAATTAAAAAACAAATCGAGATTCTCTTCGAATGGTGCAAAACCTGGTTTCAGGTCCCAGACTAGCTGTTTTCGAGCTGTACACAATAGATATCGGAAATAAAGTAGTGTGCGTTGCGCATTGCATGTGTACCAACTGATAATATTATAGCATGGTAAAGAAAATTTTGCATTTTTCGTCTTAAATTTGTTTAAGGTACAACTGGTAGATTATTCTCTAGTAACACACTTGTGTCGATGCCATCTTCTAATGCGGCAAAACCGTCGAATTTCTTCAGCGGTTTAATGTTTACGATTACCGCGTTAAATACGTTTAAGATTTGACCATTTTAGATGCCAGATGATTTCCCTATTGCTCTAGGAGAGACCCTTACCTCTCAAGCGCAGATCCCGAGACACCCGCAATAAATGAAGGACACTCACGGCCGTGTCGGTGGGTAGCACGGGCCGGCTAGGCGTGTTTACAGTTAGGGCGCTCGGGGAAGCCGAGAGAACCGGCCTCGGTGGATTTCGCGCTGCAGGCTCCTCCCCGGCCGAGACGGCGGAGCACAGTTAGCGCGGGCGCTGGCGGCTCCGGAGAGCGACGCACCTGCCGCCCAGCAGCTCCTCCGCGCGCGCACCGCTCGCCACCAAAGTCACAATGTCTCTCCGCTTCCAAAGTTAGTCACCCAATCGCCGAAACGGCTTTCAGGTTGCAGAATGTTTAACCACGAGCGCGTCTCAAACATTTTCATTAAAAAATAAAAGAATAAGCATTTAATAGTTTTCATTAAAGTTCCGGGGATTTTGTATACGCTTCATTAATACTTGTCATGAGTAGTAAGTCATCCATAATTTGACAGCTTTTAAATTCATGGATATGGTGATTGATGAAATTATCACAATACGATGACACGAGTGCATGCACATGCTAGAATATCATGTAATAATACTGGGATTTGGTCGGTACAATATAACATCCATGAATAAAATGTGGTTTGATTTCGGCGATTGGTGGCCGTTTGTCCGCAGTGTAAAAACATGTAAATAACGTAGTATTTCCTAATTACCAGTATTTAAATAATTGTCTGTTGACAGGCATCATACAGAACTGGTGTGGGCTTCTTTTAATTTACACTATGTATTTGAAACATTATAATTCCGATATTCTAGTAATAAATAGACGGCATTATAAATATTTTGTTTTGGCTATTGGTTTATTCTTCACGAACAAACTAAACATATTTTTGGTTTTTAATTTCTATACTTAATGGCCTGCCAAAAGGTTTTTATTTTTGTTTTCATTTTAATGGGTAAATTTCATTCTATCATATTTGGTCTTTTATGAGTGAAGAAAAATTATAATTACCATTACGACTTGTACCAAACGTGTTACATATGTTTTGTATGCAATTTAAAATGATTTTGTTTAATAGTGTAATAAGTGCCAAAGTTTTTACATTCCTGAAACGTAGTAAATATATTTGACGTGTAGCAGTTAAGTAATTCTCTGAACACTTTTCATATAGTATCGCTCATTTGTGTAATTGCACACTTTGGAAATTTTCACCATCTCTCCCGGCTTGAAGTCACATGTCACATCACAACACAGCACAGCGGCGACAATGTTCCCCGAGCGGTGGCGGTACCTACCTCTTGGGCACGGAGATCCTCCGCTGGCGGAACATACTGTCCATAGCCGAGGGCAGGGCACTGGCCGACCTCAACCTTGCGCGCGGCGGCGGCGGCGTCTGCGCGAGGCGAGCGGGCACTGCGAGAGCGAGCGAGAGAGCGCGGGCTGGCTGCGGCAGCGCGCGCACGCCTGGGTCGCGAGCGGCACTGAATGAGGCAGCGGCGGCACCGCCGGCACCGGGCCGGCACGCCTCCCCCGCCGCCTCCCCCGCCGCCGCTGTGCAGAATATGTGCCGCATGGCGCCCTCCGGCGCACGGCCGCATGCGCGCGCCCCGCCCCGCTCCCGCCCCCGCCCGCCCCCGCACGCGCGGCGCGCGGTGACCGCCTCTCGCGGTCTCCTTTCCGGAGCGCCGCTTCCCTTCTCGCGCGCGCGCGGCTTCGGCTTGCGCCGTGCGATTCTGCTTCGGCAACAGGAATAGTGAACACGTATACTTTTGGGGGCAATGCCAATTTTCTCTTATATTTTCTTGTGAATAGTTATTTAGTGTGGTGCGAGGGTGGGCGTTACGATCTATGATGCACACTGCACTTTTTGGCAACGTTACTGGTGTACAATTGTTGATTTGCTTGTCAAAAATAAGATATTGTGTTAGATTTTGGCAGTTTAAACAATTTCAAATGTATAATTCGTGTTTATAGCTGGAATAAATGTATTTAAAGTCATGTAGGATATTCTCTTTCAGAATATTTTTCTTGTATTGTTTTCTTCTTTTTTCGACCGTAGTTAACTAGTGGTGTCACAGAATGGCACAGACTTTCCCGTGTTAGTTTTCTATTTCCTTTTGTCTCGGCTACTCGGACTGGCTACATTCTCTTGCCAGCTGCCATCTATCGCCGCCCAAAGTTCAGTTTTTTGAAAATTACTTCAATTTTCTCTTCCCTAATAGTAGAACAGAAATGTTATATTAAGATTATTAAAAAACAGTAAAACATCTTCCTAAATAACAATTTTCTTTGAAAAATTTGCAGCGTCTTTTAAGAAAATGGCACATACACACTGCAATAAATACGATATTTGAAGCACTTTCTCTCAGACAATTGACGAGTTTTCGAAAAACTTCATTAGAAGTCATTCGAAGCACATTAACTCACGAACAGAATAGTGTTTACAAACTGTTTGAAATATGAATATCACTGGCGTGAGAGATTTTTCAAAAAATTACATTTGTTTAATTTGTGGGAAAAAAAGGTACGCCAAAGTGAGCTTTACGTCGTATTAAAGAGTACAATTACCATTAACCTTTCTAAAAGTTGGAAGGAAAAAATTGGCGCCGTTTTTGAGAAAATGGCGTTTGTTGAAATTGCGAAATTTTCAGCTAGTGTTGACAGAACGTTTTTCGAGAAACTTTATGACATTTTTTTAAAGCACATGTACTCATAAATATAATGTAAACAAATTTCTACTAAAGCAAATATTACCGTGAGCCAAGTGAAAAATTACATTGTTGTAATTTTGAAAAAACAAAAGAAAAGGGCAATATGGAGTTTATCACCTCATAGAGTGCTTTTAGCACAATACCCCAAAAGTCTAAAGAAAAAAATATAGTCGTTTTTGAGAAAATCATGTTTTGGTAGTTTTTTTTAAAATCGCACAAATTGCACGCAATATTGCGCAAAAACTACTAAAATTTCAACAAAAAAATATATATGACCTTAATGAAAGAGCTATGTAGAACAAATTTTATTGTGAGGAAAAGTATGTTTAATTTTGTAGCTATAGGACGACACTGAAAATATTCAAACTTTTGAAAGTTTCGAAAATTCAGAGTTAATCGTGAAAATCGGACGTATTCCACTTTTATAAGTGTATTTTACTCTATTCTTACAAAAAATGTAAATAAACAATTTGGAGCCATTTTTGAGAATATTTTGAATATTGTCCCAGGGGCTTCATGTAAAGTACCCCCCAAAACTAATGAATGATTTTCAAAGACGCAGAGCTTCGACTCAGGTCAAATGGACGGGGGTTCATCAGTTTGGAAAAACTCCTAAGAATTTAGGCGTTAGTGTTGTTCAGATACCCCAGACGGACAGATAGATGTTTTGAAAAAACAACAATACTCTTTCGGTATCAGAGGTCCCCATAACGTGTATTTCCCTTGAAAACTCATCCGCTGTCTGGAAGACAGCTATAGCGGAGTCGCAGTAGAGTAGTACCCTATCAAAGGGCCACGGCCAATTTTTCCCTCCTCATTCTTGACGCCACCTCACTCATATACGCGCGCTCATACACACACACACACGTATATGCATTACATTATCAGCCACCTCGGGAGACCAGTTGGGCGCTTAGCAAGTCTCCCCGGTAATGGAGATACTTGGAGAAAGAGAGAACGAACGAAAGTAGACTTTCCAGACGGCTCGGGGCCATCCCGAGGGCCATCCGAGGTTTTCATTCATTTCTAATATTCGATTCGTTAGCACAAAGTTCTAATTCTTGAACACATCTACACTTCGTGTAGGAGAAATTAAAAGAATCCTTTGAAAATGCGCAAATAAAAAATGTTAATATACAATAATCAAAACAATCTGAAAATTTCATTGTGCAAAATAATTCAGTAACGTTCATCTTGGAAAAGGATTTTTAATACAGCGTGATTGGGAAATTGCACAATCAACAAGTCACTCAGATTTTATTATAGCCATGGAAATACAAATAATTTGAATGAGGTATGTTAAAGCAGACGTTGATGAGTGTTGGAGCAACACGATGATCAGATTACTTCCTCTGCCCTGCCTCGCCATCTCGCTGCGCCGCGCGCGAATGCGCTGCGCTCCAAATGAAGGCGACTGGGACTTTGGCGACTGCACCTGCGCCGCCTGCTCTTCAGCGAACGGCCCTCTCCAAAAGCCCCGCCGCCCCGCCCCCCGCCCCGCCCCGCCCCGCCCCGCCCCGCCCCGCCCGCCCCGCCCCCGCCCGCCGCCCGCGCTCTTCGCCAGTAGGAGATTGCGCGCGGCGGCCGCCCCGGATCCTGCAGGAGTTCACGAAGCGAAACGTCACCGAGAAAAATTACTCGTTTACTACTGGATGTATTCTCATAAAAGGAAAGTGAGAAAATATAATTTCTTCTTAAATGAGTAAACGTGTAGTCTAGAAACCGCTGTGAACTGTGTCTTGGAGAAACAACAGAACCGTTTTTGCTTCGTGGGACTAATTAAACAATTTCCATCCTAGAAGATTCTTTTTGAAGGGAAATAAATATATCTGATTACGCCAATGCAAAATATCTGTTCTGATTTGACTCCAGTTTGTAACAAAGAGCTGAAAGGTGATCACTAGAACACGAGTTTGATCCTTTTATATCGGGTGTTTTTACTAAAGAGAAGGAGAGGAGGATCATTGTTGAACCATGAACAATAATTATCAGAAAAGTGGAGCAAAATTAGTATTTACGGTGTTTGTGAAGAAACCTATCAGATTACTTACTTACCCAGGAAGTGACCAGATATCGGATAAAAGAGATGAGATGGTACGTTTGTGAAAGCGAACATCGAAATCAATGTGAGGCGAAGACTCGCAGGAATCCCAAATGAGAGCTTCCCTTTGCATTTTCAGTCCCATTAAGAGGGGAGAGAAGGGAGCGAATTCTAAACGAGTGGGAACACAAGCGAGGCAGCTCGTTATTTTATTAAGATTTTACCGTATACGTAAGCTTCCGCGGCTCGAATCCATAAATTGGCGACTATCCGGGAGACGCCGAGTCGTTGGCGGGGGTGCCGACGTTTTGCCTGACATGTCGCAGTCGCACCCCCGCACACGACGCGCGTCCTCCGGATAGCGCCAATTTAAGATTTTACCGTTGCGCAAGACCGTTGGGCCTGGCCTGGCGTTCCGAGCTGGGAGAAATTGTTGTGCCTGCGGTGGCTGCTCGAAGGGGCAGGGGGGGGGGGCGCCTAGAAGTGCAGCGGCGGCTGCAGGCCGACGGGCACAGCCGCGTTCTCAGAACGCACCCCCGCCCCTGGCGCCAACGAAGACGTTCATCTTCGATTCCCCGACAAGTTTGTCACATCTATTCTGAGTCATCTTGTGGAGCATTTTAGTTATTGATTTCTGAGCACCGATATCTTTTGTTATGTAACTATATTCAGTTAATTTGAAGTTTCAGGGGTAACCTCAGTGTAAAGAAATAGCATCTCTCTTCTTACAGTGTAACGAATTAGCAACCAACAAGTTGTTCAAAAAATTCAACGTAGACGCTCAACTTTAGTACCTACCGAAAGACTTGAACACTCATTAGCAAGAATTAAAAAGTCTTCTTTTTCCTGAATTCATCATTACAAGATATACGAAGTTATGAAGGAAGGAAACCATTTTATTCACTTACTAATCTAAAGATATATTTAATAAAATTTTGAAAAAAGGAAACTTTTAGTTTTGGACTCGTAATTGAAAAAGGTTTTAACGGTGTCAGTGGTATGATTTGTATTTAAACGAAAATGTCTGTTTTACAAAGCGTGTAAAATCATTTCCGTCTATTGATTCGTATTGGCATTTTGGGTGTAAGAAATAAAACATTAAATTCGGGAAGTCCGTTTCACTCAAATGCATATTTGAATGCGAATGAACATCATAACTCAAATCTATTCCCGTCATTTTCTCCCCAAAAGTAGTATTTTGCAAGTAATTTGGTTAACAGACATGGTTTACGATTGTAATAAGAATATTTTGACTTCAGGATGTGTTTTTATCTTACATTTTAATAGAATTTCAAATTAATTATTACAATACATAGTATTTCTGTACGTTATCCATCCCATGCCATCTCTCAAACCGAATCAAATATAAAGAGAACATCTGTAAACACATTGTTCTAGGGACATTTTATAATTTCTTATCCAGGGAAATTCTCACACAAATGACTTCCACTGTGTTTTGTTGAAACCGATTACAGACACATACAAGTATTGCAGATGCTATGTAGGAAAAGTACAGACGAATAAAAGCAACGAGCGAAGGAGGGTATAATTGGTAATGCAAATTTACTGATAAATAATAATAATAATTAATAACATTAACTTAATATAATAATAGCATTATATATTTTCTTAATATAATAATATAGTTTAGGTGCATTATCTTTCAAGCCCATTATATTTATATATTCATTGATAACAAAAATGTTTATAATTATACAATTGGATTACAAAATATTTATAATGGAGGACATATCTTAAAGTTTGCCCTTAAAATATATCACAATGAAGTATAGTTGCACACTGAAAGACGTACGCTGCGAA